CTGTTGGATTCGCTCCTTCAGTTAGTCCCTAGTTCTGGATGGGTTTTTCTGCATTAACGTTTGATGCAGAACATGACGCGTCGAAGCGATATACTGAAACGTAAATTACCGCCCCGAGGAGTGCCAAGAAAAAGAATGAGTTAGGTTAGGTGAAGCAATATGGAACAGTTACCTATTATAAAATTTGTGACGAGACCCGCGTTAAGCAGCGATGTTGGTAGAAATTCTAGCCAATGGTGGCTAAAAAACATTATACAACGCTAAGTTGCTAAGAGATGACTGCTTAACGCGGTGCGCCTTATTATACGTAAGTTATGAGATGACAAATTGGAGCAGTTTAGTGAAGAGTTACCAGGTTGGAAGTTCAAGGCCATTTGAACTACTGCGCATTAACCAACTGAATGCCACTGAAGGCCAAACGATGGTGTTCTTACCTGAGCTAAATCAATGACATTGAAGGTCAAACTTGAAGGTGAAATAGAAAGCAAAATAATTATTTTTTGTATCGTATGTGTGGCACTCCCTAGGTACAGACTTGTGACTTGACGACGCATGGTAGTCAGGAGATGTTCTGGTACCACTAAAAACTGGTAAGTTGTGGGATTCGAACTCACAACCTGTGTGGTTAGAGTCCGAGTTTTAAACCGTTACAAACTGATTACAGAATTGAATTGAAGGTGAAACAGAGGACAGAATTAAGGGTGAAATAGAGGGCAGATTTGAAGGTGAAATAAAGCTCAGAATTAAAAGTGAAATAGAGGGCGCACAAAACAATTTATAGCCAATTCAAAAAAACAACTGAAGATCAAACGGTTGGTTCTTACTTACCACTAAAACTAAAGCAAAATTTAGGTCAAAATGTAATTCGATTGCGTGACCGATTTTGTGGAGAGGAATAGGATTTATATAAGGCCGTGACACTCTGTTAAAGAATTCTACCGGAGCGAACTATTTTAGGCGCAAATTTTCCGAGAGCGAATTGTTCATGGAACGAATTGTCCGGGGATGAATTGCGCGAAGAGCGCATTGTTCCAGTGCGAATTGTCAAGAGCGAATTGTCCGCACACCAGTTTAATTGTTTTTTTAAAATAACTTCTAAACAGCTTTAAGTAAATCCAAAAATCCTCCGTAGCCGGTTCCTGTAGAATTTTGCTTTGTAGACTATGCATTGTAAAAAAGAATTTGGAAATTTCTATAAACAGCCGAGTTTGTACTGTATAAGTAAGGCCGATCCTGGACCACTTTGACCTTGAGGTTTGCGCGTGCGCCAAGTTCTGGAGTCAACGGAGACAGCCGACAGGTCTATTTATCAGAAACAGGTCGGTTAAACCAACATGATTCTGTTAACCGAACTTATTTCTACTGAACAGAGCTGTTTCTATGGAATACACCTGATTTTAATTAATGCACTTGTTTCTGCTTAACTGGGATGTTTCTGATAAGCTGACCTTAATGCGCAGATCTTAAGGTCAAAGTGGTCCAGGATCGGCCTTGCTTAGTTACTAATTTTTTGTAAACAACTTAACTAACTTCTTCTCAATAAAGCGTCTTAGGAACACGTAAACACATTTCCGATAATAAAGAAGTTAATCTAAAAAATGTTTACCCATAACTCAAAAACAAAGGACTGAAGGCCAGTTTGGTTTTCAACATCGACTTTATTTTAAAAAAAATACATTGAGACTGCGAGGCGAATTTTTGTATATCATTTATAGTTTAAGAGTTAAGTATTCCGTACTAACGACCAACTTTGGACACCCTGTATGTACAACCATAGCGACGGTCTTTTTTATTTTTCAAATGCAATTCCTATGTTTTTTATGAAACTGGAAGAGCAATCAATTGTTTGTACGACAATATTAAATATGCATATGGTTGATATAAAAAAATGGAGAAATTCGTGGTTCAATATTTCGAAAATTTATGAAATCTAGCATGCCATGTGCTGTCAGGAATTCAAGATGCACGGCGTCTGTCCTGTGTGACATGGATCACGGCATGCTAGATTTCATAAATTTTCTAAATATTAAATCACGAATTTCTCCATTTTTTGTATATTATGCAAATTTTTGTTGTACAGAAAATTGATTGCTCTTTTCAAATATCGTAAAAAAACATAGGCATTACATTTGAAAAAAAAAAGTTGCATCGATTTTCGGTTAAATCGGACGTGCTATCGGAAGGTTGAATATGCGATCAGATAGATTTTAATGGCACACATAAAATTATATTTGACAAATAAAAGAGATATTTGAGGTGACCCCCTTATCTAAACGCACTGTATAATGAGAATATTGACATTTCCATACTGCGGGACATTGGTAAATTATTACAGTGATTAAACAAAATTTCGACTACTAGGCCAGTCACCGTAAACACAAAAATTGGGTTAGGTCGAAGAAAATTGCAAGGTTCTGAATTTTTTAGATATTGTTAGGATAGATACCAATAGTGTAAATATAATAATAGTAATAATAATAATAGTTTGCAACCTGTGCTAACTTCGTGGTGCTAAAAAAATCTACTTTTTTCAGTTTTTAGCTAACTTCTAAAAGCAGTCACTCATGACACTTTTAAAGAAGATAAAATTAGCAACAATTTGTGCACAACACCAGCTCTGTACGTGGAGAGATACAATTCAAAAATGGGATATTTTTCCAAAAAGTTAGAAATTTGTAGTAAGCTAGTGTTTCGAACAAAATAACGTCTAAAAACTCATTCTACGAGGAAAGTCCTGAGAGATAAAGTTGTAGAGCTTTGATTTAAGATTTTGTTTAATGTTTCGTTGATCCGTCTTAAAAACACTATAGTGCATGACAAATCAAAGGTTGAAACTGCCCTGCTTGGATCAAAATGTCATTTTTTAATCAAAAAATCTTATTTATTGTCGAATATTGATGCCATTCTTTTGTGTGGGTTAAATTTTTTTTAGGATCTAGAGGTATTTACATACCTTTGAATAGGAAAATGTACCAGGTATTGGATTCATTACAAATATGAAAAAAATTTACATAATTAATTAGATTTGAAACGTGATCACGAGACAAGAATTGAAATTTTATTTTGTGTTTGTATCTTAAATCATAAAAAAAATGTAAATAAAAATAGAGTTGGAACGATATATCATCAATATATTCAAACAGGCCAATTTACATGACTATTTATTTGAGAGTGATCAAACCAGAACATCATCAGGTTTTGATTTTCAGATTATAAGGGGAAATAAAGAACCAAATTTCGCAAGGTAAGAGTCATTAAAAGCTTATTTATTACTGAGCTATCCGTGGATTTTGTTATTTCATTACAAAAAATTAATTGTTACACTAAGTTGCAGTAAAATTTTTATCAGTGCGGTAGAGATTTAAAGTGGGGCTTTCCACTCTTGTAAATTTAACTAAGTCGTTACAGTGGCCCAAATAGTCTCTCCAGAGTCTCTCTAGAAGTCTAGAGGATCAAGAGACAGTTAATACTCCTTGGTGGGAAACTTTTACAAGCTTATAATTACCACTCTAAAAATTAGATTTACATCATTCTGATCTGGTTTGATCACATTGTACTTCGAAATTTCTCCAACAGTTTTTTGAAATAAATCTATTTACACTAGAGTGCCTAGAGCAGGGATGGGGAAATAAATTTGAAAGAGGGTCAGATAAAATAATTACAGCATTTAAGCGGACCAAAGAGGATTGATTATAAGTAAGAAAAAATGAACTTGACAAAATTTATTGTTTCGATGGCCTGGGTGTGACAAATGAAATTATATAAATGTTCATTAATTATAGCGTCGAAATTTGGCTCCAAATTAGTGGGAGAAATTCTCAAAACGCTCTAAAGTGGTTCCTCAAACCATCCTGTTCATCAATTCTTTATTACGAAAGGTATAATTTTCTGTAGAGATATGCTGAATTGTAGTGAACAAGAAATTCTAGATGGTCTTAATAAGTGTAAAGTTATAGATATAGAGGTTAAAAAGCTGAAAAAAAGAATCGATGGGAATCTTGTTGACACACCGAGTATTTTACTCACATTTGATACACCAAATCTGCCGAAAAAAATAAAAGCAGCTTTCTATGTTTTAGAAGTTAGGCCCTATATTCCTGCACCGCTTAGGTGCTATCGTTGCCAAAAGTATGGTCATTCGTCCTTAAAATGTGGGAATGAAGCAATATGTGCCTCTGGTAAAACACCTCATGAAGGAAGTCCATGTACGGAACCTATAAAATGTGTAAATTGCCAAGGAGCTCATTCTTCCCGTTACAGCCAGTGTCCTAAATATAAAGAGGAAGTTGCCATACAGAAATTAAAGAGTACAGAAAAGGTAACATATGGAGAAGCTAAACGTCTATTGAGTGCAACGCGGCCGCAACAACAAAGTTTCGCACAAGTAACTACACGCGCATTACAACCAACAAATATTATTCCTGAACTTGTTAACACCCTAATTCCGAAACTAGTACCGCAAATAACTAAACAATTGAAGGAAGCGTTATTAACAGAGGAAATGACAAGTTTCCTCAAAAATTACAGTTCAAACAAACCTGCGCGGCAAAACCCACCATCTGTTTTTGAAGTTCCGACCATTCGAGCGATGGAGAAGGGCTTTAACCCTTTCTCTGAACCCACCACGTCCTCTGAAGTTGAGAACATGGAAGTGGAATCGAGAGGAGCTAAACGAAAGACGTCTTTCACTAAAACGCGATCCTCCCGAGAATCCAGTATTACTTCCCTTGACGAAGAAACGGTGGTTGAAGCTAAACTAGGGAAGAAAAAGAAAGGTTGGCCGAAAGGTAAACCTAGAAAACCTGGTTCAAGTGCCGAAGTTGCGAAAAGAGCTGAAAAACCAGCTTCTGCTATTCGAGAGGGATCTCATACCAGTTAGTCTGTGATACGTAACCACCTGTGATATTTGTGTCGTATATTTTTGTGTAATACTGTCTGTGATAAGAAACTTTTATGATACACCTATTTTTTATATTTAGATATTTATTGTGCCTGTCCTCATATACACCAACAATTCTTATTTATCTGTTATTTATTACACTGTGCTTGTCTCTATTTAAAAAATAAAAAAATGGATACGACAAAAATTATCCAATGGAACTGTCGAGGACTATCCAATAATTTCAACGAACTGAAACTTCTCATTCAAAAACACACCCCATTGTGTGTTGCTCTTCAAGAAACGCACCTGAAACCAAGGTCAAAGTTTACTGTTAAAAATTTTAATCTAATAAGGAAAGATTTTTACTCACCTGCTAGAGCCTGTGGAGGAGTGGCTTTTCTCATTCAAAAAGGCACACCCTATAAACAGGTTCAATTAAACACAACCTACCAAGCTGTGGCAGTCCAACTTGAAATTGACAAAACCTTTACAATTTGTAACATCTACGTTCCCAATACAACATATGAGGTAAGAGAAATTGAACAAATTATAAATCAGCTTCCAACACCCTTTGTTCTTGTCGGAGATTTTAATTCTCACAACACTGTTTGGGGCTCTACCTCAAATGATGCTCGAGGCAAAGAGTTATTGAATCTCGTTGAAAATAAAAACTTAAGCTTGCTAAATGACCACTCACCTACGTTCTTCAATGTTAGGTCATTTGATTCAATCGATGTATCAGTATGCTCACCAGCTATACATACTAATTTAAAATGGGAGGTGGAAAATGATTTATATCATAGTGACCACTTTCCCATAGTTATTACAGTCCGAGGTCAAAACTCTGCCATTAAAACAATAGCCAAGTACAAAATTAATCTAGCAAACTGGGAACGGTTTACACAACAGCTCGTCTCCCCTAGTCAGGATAATTTAACTCTTAAAGCCCTTACCTCCTCCATTATAAATGCTGCTGAAGCCAGCATCCCAAAATCAAAACCTGGCAAAATAAGAAAGATGGTTCCATGGTGGTCATCTGACATTAAAGCAAAAATCTCGTTAAAGAAAAAAGCCTTGAATAAATTTTGTCGGAATCCCACAATGGATAATCTTATAGAATTTAAGAAACAAAGATCACAGTGTCGCCGAGCAATACTGGAGGCACAGAGAAACTCATGGCAACAGTACGTGTCCACAATGACACCGGAAACTACCAGTAGTGAAGTGTGGAGGAAAGTGGGAGCTATATCTGGTAAAATCAGTTTCAATTACCCGACGTTTCTGCGAAACGCTGATGGCAATATTATAAATGATCTGCAAGAAATAACTAACATTATTGCTGATCAATTCTACAAGGTTAGTAGCTCCTCTAACTATCCTCCCACCTTTTTGGACACTAAACCTGAAAAAGAATCTTCGTATATCAATTTTAACACAGAAGAAAATTTAGATTACAACTCACCTTTTACTCTGGAAGAATTGCAGACTGCACTCCGTAGTACCAAGTCATGCTCACCAGGTCATGATGGTATCCATAACCAGATGCTTCGTCACTGTACCTCTGAAATGCAACAAAGAATATTAAATTTCTTTAATAATTGCTGGAATGAACATACTTACCCCTCGGAATGGAAACGGGCAGTCATCGTCCCTATACCGAAACCAGGAAAAGATCCGCTACTGGCACAGAGTTATCGCCCTATTAGTTTGACATCTTTCTTGGGCAAACTGCTCGAGAAAATGGTTAATGTGCGGTTGCAAACACTTCTTGAAAACTACAATGTGTACGTACCTTATCAAACTGGTTTTCGGAGGGGACGGTCAACGACTGACCATCTTGTCAGACTTACTGACAGAATTCTAAGGGCGTTTGACAGTGGCGAACACCTGGTTGGGGTATTCTTTGATATTAAAGGCGCATTTGATATGACTTGGAGATATGGAATACTCCAAAAACTCTTTAAGTATCATATACGCGGTAACCTACCAAAATTTATCAAATCCTTTTTAGAAAACAGAACATTCGTTGTCAGGGTGGGCGACGCCTATTCAGAGGTACAGGTGTTAGAGAATGGGGTGCCGCAGGGATCAACACTAAGCTGTTCCCTATTTGGCATTGCCATTAATGAAATAGCAATGGGTGTCACCGAGGAAATAGATAAATGCCTGTACGTTGACGATCTGATGATCTGCTGTTCTGGTAAAACAATCGGTGCCATAACCCGTAAATTACAAATGGCAATAAATAAAATATGGGAAAATGCAAGCGCTGTCGGATTTGTGCTGTCGGAAGAGAAGACTAAGGCCATTCACTTCTGTCGACTTCGTAAACCTCACTACGACCCAGTCCTGTTTATGAATGATCGAATTATAAATGTACCCCAAGAGGTCAAGTTCCTGGGGTTAACATTTGACCGTGAATTAAGATGGTCTAGACACCTGCAAAACATTGTTACCACAAGTAGGAGGTTGCTGAACATAATCAGAGTTTTAGCTCATAATAAATGGGGTGCGCATGCTAAGACTCTACTTAACATATATAGAGCATTGATTTTATCAAAAATTGATTATGGTAGCCCTGCCTACCTCACATGCGGTAACAACACTTTATTAGGAGCACTAGATAAAATCCAGAACCTGGCAATAAGGTATTCTCTTGGAGCATACCCAACAACTCCTGTCGCCTCACTTCACGTGGAAGCAAACATTCTTCCTTTAACTCTTCGCCGAAAGCAGATTCTGGTCAACTATTATCTTAAAGTGTCTCTAGATAAACAGTCACCCGTCACTTGCCTCACAAACTTCACTGAGTAGGAAGCAAACATGTCTTCTTGTTCCTCTTCTATTCGTCAAAGCCTATTCTACGAAGATAAAACTAGATTAGAGTGAAGTCTGCTGAGTCTCTCCAGCAGAACCCACCTCCTGCTTCGTGAATCACAAATGACTCTTAGGCTTGTAACGATAGGAGAAATGAGCTAGAGAAGAACTGAGACACTTAGAACTCCATGAAGCAAATTTTGCAATTTGTCTTAGTTCGATCACAAATGCTCGTCTAAATAGATGTAGAACGATAGGAGAAAGAGCTAGAGAAGAACTGAGACACTTAGAACTCCATGAAGCAAATTTTGCAGATTTGTCTAAAATAGTTCGAGGCAGGCTTGTAAAAGCTCAAATAAATGAGTTGGAGTGACCAGTGGAGGGCATCTGACACATTCTTGAAGAGGGTCAAGCCCAGCCTAGGACCACTGTTTCTTATTAATACGAATCGTTCCGCTTTGATAAAACTATATAGACTCCGGCTTGGCCATACTGCCTTGACACATGGTTTTTTGTTGGCCGGTGAAGATCGTCCTCATTGCGTAAGGTGTGATGTAAACCTAACACCGGAGCATATAGTTTGTGTTTGTCCAGAATACCAAGATGCCCGTAACCTCTATCAAATAAGTGACATATGGGAAGAGAATTTTAGCACTGTAAATAAATGCTCAGAAGTACTGCGATTTCTAAGCACCATAAATGTGATAAGTAAACTGTGATAAAATGTTTGTAATATGTCCTATGACTGTACGTTTGAGCTGAAAATCTGTGATATATATGTAACTAGTAGGTATGCATCTTAAAACTGTGATATCTTAGCTGCTATAAGTAGGAAATAGATCGGCAAATGGCCTTAGAAGCCGAAGCCTCAGGTGGGGTTTTAGTGGGTATGCCCAAATAATGGGAGAGTACCACACTACTCCAGACCTCCATCTGGAGTGTGCGTAATGCATTTCCCCACCTGTCCAAAAAAAAAAAAAAAATTAGACGACTGGTATATTAACCGCGGGCGATTTGGCCCGAGGGCCGCTATTTCCCCATCCCTGGACTAGAGCTTAGCAATCATTTAATAGGAACATAAAAGAGTGGGTCTCATTTTTTCACCTAAAGTTCATAGGCCAAGTCGGATACCTATTGGAGCCAAGCACGCTTGCACGTCGCTACCCGATTTCTTCTAGAAAACTATAATTATTGTAGTTCTTCGAAATGGCACAGAAATGACCCAGTTAATTCTAAAATCACGCCATTCGTATATAAACAAACTGATTGCAAAGTTCATTATCAATGCATTCGGCAATGCCATTGCTCTATTACGGTTTTTTCCCTGACATATCAATTTTATTAATCATTCCAAACTCCCCCGTCCAATTTAGAGCGAATCTAATTTTAAAATGTTCCATGCTGAAATACACGTACTCTATCTTATCATCGTGATAAGAAAAACTATTAGTGTGGTATCTCGTTAAAGCAGATCGAGTTCGTTTCCATTAAAAGTTGTTTTTATGTCTACTCTAATTGGACCTAATAAATTACGTAATTTTTAAAATTATGGCTTTCCACATACGTTACAATTACATTGTTTATAATTACAAACATTGTAGTAAATAAAGTGATTAACATAAGCATTAGTCCACCGTCGTTCATAGGAAATTTTAAATTTAGTGTCGCTCAATGAAAATTACTGCATTTATTATAATTAAACCTTTAGATGCATTCCGGAAACGGCGTCCTAGCTAATGTAAAAAAACTTACAAGGATACCATGCAAAACGCAAAAAAACGAGATTCGTGATTCATGCACAGCATACAATTACTACAGACTGTTCACTCTAAATGTTAACATGCAATGAGTAAGAGAACACGTATTACAGGTGTTCAAACTGCATTATGGAGTACTCATCTTCCTACGTAAATACATACAAACGTAATTCTACTCAGTTTTCTACTTATAAAATTGAAAGTATCGACACGTGATAGATATTACGTGCAACTGATGACGACTTTGATCTTTAGAAGAGCATGAATAGCACCTTTCTTAGATTTTTCCCATATATCTATTCTATTTCTATAGAATATTTGATCACAAAGCTTTATAATGGGTTTTATGTCTTACTAACATATAATAGCACATTTTATATCTGTGATACGCGGGCATAAAGTACCACTTTATGCCCTAGGGCATTAAGTATCACCATAGTATCTCATTTATACTTAATGACAAAACAAACAAATATTTGCAGGTCATTGAAAATTAGAAACGTCAATTATTAATATTGTCAATACCTACTAAATCACAAGATTGGCCTTATTTCATATAGTTTCTGGAACTTCTTGCTCATTCACGATGAATTGTATTATTTAAAATTACGTTTGACGTTTGCATGGTTTCAATCACATTAACAAATTCGAACCACGCATACACGATCAAACATAATGAATTATTTTGTAAACGAATTTTGACGAAGAAAACTATTTGTAAAACATAAAATTGTGTATGTACCCCGGGCATAAACTGATGTTTATACTCTAGGGCGACTAAAAAGGTCGCCCTCGAGAATATAAACATCACTATTATGCCCTTAATACATAAATAAGTATTACATGCGTTTATAAAAAATAACCTTATGACAAGTATTTTAACAAAATATGATAAGGTCAGTTTCTCGGATGAGCTTGCACGACCTCTTAAAATTGCTCATCATGCTCTTTTGAAAAGCTATACCTACACGTTTGCGTTAAAACAGTCCACATGACTAGTTTAACCCTTATGTGAGAAATGCGGTACAAATGCACCAATCACGAATTCGTTTTGAGATAATTCATTTATTCATAAAGTTATGGTAGCCAACCTCTAGAGCCTCTGCAGGATAGATAGTATACTCGTGAAAACTTCCTTTAAACAATAGTTAGAAAAATACGGACACGGGATAGTTTATATGAAAAATTAAAATTGAAATAAATCACATGTACCACTGATTGATGCTGATATGCTGTTATTTTATAATGAGCAAATGTGTTGATTACATACGCCACAAGCTTGTCGTGTTTTTCGATATTTTTTGGTTGTTCGGCACATCTACAACGTTCCTGGGAACTCCAGACATTTGCACGTTAGCATCAGAGCAAACTTTGATGACGACCAACCTTTGAACTTTAAACGGCGAACAAATTTTGGACTTTGAGCTTCACACTAACTTAATTTCGAAGATCGTCGCATCGTTAACCTTAGTTTTGAAAGTAATTGTCAGGAGAAGCGTGAGATAACTTGGCGGCACCTGAATTTCACCTCATGGAATTTTACATGGAGTAGAGCATAATATGACTATTGTTTGCTATGGTCCACGACTGCTCAGCATACGCTATCCATGACATCATTTAATATTATTCGATATGCCTGAATGCGGGGGGCTTTATAATCCATACTCTCCTCCAAAGTTTAAACTTGAGGTCAATGACATCACACACTTAACCTCCGCCTTTAGACGTTCACTTTGAACAATCGTAACAAAATTACCAAGAGATAAGCACACAGTAAGCTCGGGCGAAGTAGAGGTGAGAGGGGGTGGATAACGGGGTTTTCATACAAAAGCCAAAACGAAGCAAAAAGGAAATGTAGTAATAGTAAACCGAATAGGCGGCACTTAGTCTTTAGTAAATTTCAAAAGATAAAAGAGAATACTTAGCGATAGGGGGGACAGGAGATACTTGTTCTGGTCTTGAGCAGCTAAAGAAATCAAATAATTGAAAGAGTTACAACATAAACAAGAATTGTTGTCACAATTGAGGGTGATTTCATATAAGTATCAAACGAGTGAAGAATCAATTTAATTCAAAAAGAAACACATCCACCTTTAAAATAAGGTGTAACTGATCGACAGGGGTTGCACTCCCTAAAAAACTCCTTAGTGTATGAAAGATTTAAATGTCCTAAAATGTAGTTTTTTTTTTAATTTTCAGATTTTATGTTGACTTATAGCTCTGTGTCGGGATTTTGGGCAAGTCAAGTACTAGTCCTTGCGAGAGGGTTCGAGAAAGTCTCCAAAGATGTACCTGTGGAATCTGGTAATAGAAAATTGGATAGAGCTGCAAATTTTTCGTTAAAAAACAACCGAAAGTGAGGGCAGAAAGCAGAAGCGATTATTTTTCTTTTTTAGACCTTTCAAAAATATTTAACCAAGGGCAAAATTAAAATTACACTTATAACCAGCTGAGTTTTGGTCACTGGACGTGGCTGAACGGAGAACCAACAAAACTGGTGGAACTCACAATTCAAAATAGAGTTAACGCCTTAAATTAATTGTAATCTACGGTGGGCCAGATAAAGATAGGAGTAAAAATACCTACCTACGTCACGTGAGTAGTTAATGAATTATAGGAATGTATACCTCATTCATAAGAATTTCTCGAAGATTTGCATAATACGGCAAGCCCTAATTTACAGACTTCGATATTTTTCTTAGTAATTACTAAGGTTCTGCTCTATTACGTTCGTGGTTTTCCTAATCAGTAGGTAAGTTGTATTACCCTTTCATATTTACAATTACCATCACAATGTGGCTTACGTATTATTCTGCAAACTTGCAAACTACCAAAACAGAGATACGAGTACTTTGGAAAAACTTACGTTGTATGTCGATTCACGACACCATAATGATTTATCTAATTAACACTTGTAGACCGTCCGTTACGAATTTGCATAAGCGTAATATTACATTTATATAAAAAGTGCGAAAGTAAAAAAATATGAATGTAAAGATCGAGGTAAAGATGAAAGTCTTGGGAAAATTGCTGGTATAATGTGTTAGGCGTATCCCTATTGTTATTAAAAAGGTAAAAAGGAAAATAGGGTCAAAATGAAAATTGTCACTTTTAGAATGACTAGATTTCTTAATTAAAATAAGTAGGTACAGAAAAATTTTTATTACAAAATTTTTAAATGAAGTATACGGGGC